GATCCCGGGGACTCCCACGCCCCTATCCAACCACTCCCCGCCCCCTCTGCTCCCTGTCCCTGACTCGTCCCAACCCCTCTCCACACCCCTGCCCCCCTGACAGGCCCCCCCAGAACCCCCGACTCATCCAACCCCCCCTACTCTCTGTCCCTTGACTGCCCCCTCCAGAAACCCCCTACCCCTTCTCCAGCCCCCTGGCCCCCTTACCCTGCCACTCAGAACAGGATGTTGGGCTCCGCGTGGAGGTGCTCCCCAGCGCACCACACAACCCGGTCCCTGCCCCCACACAGTGCTGCCGGAGCGGGGCGCTGGGCTGCAGGGGAGGAGGAGAAGGGGAGGAGGAGGAGGAGCTGCCAAGGCCCCATGCGAATGGCCCGGCCCAGCGGCGATCTGAGAATGCAGGGGGGGGCGGGGAGGAGGAGCTCTACAGCAGCTGCCCGGACAATGATCTGAAGCTGCGGGGAATGGGCTCTGGCTGCCAGAGCCCCATGTGAGCAGATGAATTTCCTGCAGCCCTCCCAGCCGTGCCTCGCTCTGCGTGGGGGGAAATCCCGGACATTTTTACCTATTTACAAATTCCCCCCGGACGCTATTTTTAACACAAAAAGCTGGACATGTCCGGAAAAATCCGGACAAATGGTAACCCTAAGCTAGACAAACCCACCCTGGAAATAAGGTGTAATTTTTCACAGTGAGAGTGATTAACCATTGTAACAATTTAGCAAGGGTCGTGGTGGATTCTCCATTGCTGGAAATTTATAAATCCAGATTGGATGTTTGTCTAAGAGATCTGCTCTAGGAATTACTTTGTGGAAGTTCTCTGGCCTCTGTTATCCAGGAGGTCAGACAAGACGGTCACAATGGGCCCTTCTGGCCTGGGAATCTGTGAATCTATGAATCCCAAATGGACTCAGAGGTCACCAAGAACAAGCTGAATGTGGGGCGAAAGGAATGGCTCCCTTCTTCCGAGAATTCAGAGAAGAGGAACCAAGATATAGCTCACTCCTTCCTTCCACAGAATTAGTCATGGCTACCATCTGTGAATGTGACCCGTACCCTTCCTGCATGGGGAAAGCAGAGAACATCTGGGACCTCTAATTTTAGAGCAGCCTGTGATCTTGAGCTGGTCTAAGCAGGCCCTGCGCTGCCAGCGTCCCCTGCGACACCAACCCCCTTATGCCCAGAAACCGCCATACCCAGGGCCCCCCACCCTAGATTCCCCCCACTGTCCAGTGCCCCTCTCACAGCCCCCCCCACCACAACTGCCCAGCACCCAATATTCCTGAGGGAATTTAGTCCCAAAAAAATTAAAAATTCTGCACACAATATTTTAAAATTCTGCAAATTTTATTTGTCAATAAATAAATGTGGAAGCTCCAACATGGCAGTGGGGAGACAGGCCACTGGCTGCATGGAGGTGGGACATCACCCTGCAGCTTCCCCCGCCCCTCCCAGGACAAGGACCCAGCAGTGAGGCTGCACCTGACCCCGACACAGCGCAAGGGCCGGGCCTGCCCCAGAAACACCCCGGGGCCCTGCTCCTCTGCGCCAGGTGCACCGGGTGTAGGCAGGCAGGCTCAGCCCGGCAGAGGGTCCAAGTGTGGAGGGGCTCAGTGTGGGGGGATCCAGGTGGGGGTAAGAGGGTTCTGTGCAGGGTAGTCAGGGTGCGGGCGGCTCAGTGGGAGATCTGGATACACAGGGGCCCGGTGGTGGGTTCTGGGTGCAGGGGCAATGGGGCTCTGTGGGGAGGGTGTCCGGGGGGCTCAATGGGGTGGTCCAGGTGCAGGGGAGGTGGGGCTTGTCAGCGTGGGGGTTCGATGGGCCTGCTTAATGGGAGTCCCAGCTGCTGCCAATGGGATGCTGTATGTTGGGCTCCTGCTTCCTCCTTGCCCCCGCTTCCTCTATCCCCTTCTCTTCCCCATCCCATGTTCCTTCCCCACTGCCCCATCCCCCAGCCCGCCCCCTGCTCTGCCCTGCCCCATCACATGCACTCACTGTTGTGCAGAACTGAGTGGCCCCTGCTTTCAGCCGGGCAGTTCTGTGGGGACTCCAGAAAGCCCTCCTGCAGCCAATCACTAATCAGCACTGAACAAATATTGCAAGACCTTACAGGGCAGATTTTAGCAGAGAGCCTCTAAGCGTCACTGTGGGGAGCTTCCCCCACCAGCCCTGAAAAGAATATCGCTGTCAGTCTCCAGCTCAGGGCTGATCCTTCGGCACCCTGAAGGGGAAAATCCACAAACAGAGCTTCACTTTGCTTCACACCAGTAGAATCCCAGGCCAGCCAGGTGTCAATCCCAGCCCATGTAGGGTTAGAAGTTCCTGCTGCTGCCTGTTGAGAAACATTGACCTTGTGCTGCACCGGGTCGGCTGTGGTATCGATCCCGTTATGCAAGTATGTTCTTCCTGTTTCTGGGAAGGAAGAACAACTGCCCTCGTGTTAACTAGGGTTACCATACGTCCGGATTTTCCCGGACATGTCCGGCTTTTGGGGGCTCAAATCCCCGTCCGGGGGGAAATCCCCAAAAGCCGGGCATGTCCGGGAAAATCGGGAGGGAGGGCTGGGCCGGGGTCGAGGGCCGGGCGCGCGGTGCCGGGCCGGGGTCCAGGGGCGCAGTGCCAGGCCGGGAGCCGGGCCGGGGCCACGGGGTCGGGCCACCGGGGGG